CATGCCACATTCAACTTTTGTTTATGTTTGGTAAATATATATATATATATATATATCTTTTTGTGATTTTGGTCCCAAAAGGATAATAATTCATCACTAATGTCCAATTTCTATGGCTAAAAATATAATAACATTTTTGGTAATAAAAATATTTGGTCTCTAAAAAGGAATTTTGTCTCTAAATTTTTGTCTCTAAAGCCTTAATTTTTTATAGTGATAATGTCGCCAATAACTGAAGATCTCCTGAACAATTCTGATGCAAAATCTCCGGTGCAAAACTTTATATCGCAGAGCGTAGGGCTTCAATATAACCCGCTCAACATCTCATATAAAAGGTTGTGTTACTATAATCTAGAAAAAGATTTCCATGGAGCTAAGAAAGAACATCTGGAAGAGAAACCGACTCAGGTCAAATCAGGAATGCTTCTCCTCACTGAAAATACCCATTTTGGTAAGCTATTTGGTTAGTGGGAAACTATTATGGTAAGTATGAAGTGAATCTTTTTGAGGACCAGCTGCTCAAACATTGTAACTAAAAGAGCGATGATGTGTAGACCCTTATCACTCAACATATTGGACATTTGAAAAAACTATAACTTCTTTCCTTGAAAAGGTGCAGAAGGAGATGGTTGTGTTCCATACTTGTCAAGAAGCGTTATATACAACTAATTTATATATCGTTCTACAGTTCTTGGTAAACACATTTAAACTTTGAATAAGGAAACATAAGCATATATATATGTTATGAACAGACTAACTAAAGCCTTCTCCATGTTTCCACTTCCAGGGAGATGCTTTGTTGTGTTTGCGCAGGTAAATTATATTGTTACGACTGCCCACAAATCATAGCATAGTGAAGAAATTGAGAAGATTTCCAAAGCCAGGAAAAAACGAAATAACAAGAACACAAGTTCGGAAGAACTGACAAACCTGAGACATCTCTCCTCCCCATGTTCTTTGGCTGCAAATTATTAGTGAACTGAATGGCCTTAAAGCAAAGTGTAACGGAGCTGGTACAGCGTGCTCAACAAAACTTTTAGTAGTGCTTGTGGACTGTAAAAGAAAATTAGATAGACTATTAATTAATTCTAGTGGGTTCAAGTTTACAAAAAAGCTGAAGCTGAGTTCTTGGCTAGTATAGTTTCAGATCATTGTCCTGTTGTTACTTTAATGACTGAAATTAAATTGAGAAACATTTTCATAATCGTCAATTTTTGGATGAAGCATGGGATGGGAATATCAAGGAGATTCTTCAAAATTCTTCAAATTTAAAAAGTAACAGGTTCTTGAGTGTTGAGAATGAGTCTTAAAATGAAAAGAATCAAGTCTGTTTTTTAAAAATTGAACAAAAAAACACCAATCTAAATTAGAGTCATTGAAGCAAAAGATAAACTAAATTAGATCCAGGAGTGCTCTAACTTTTCATATAACCAGAAGCACCTTCATGAATTTGGGTAGGGATTTGGAAGGAGACGGGAAAGGGAAAGGGAAAGGGAAAGGGAAAGGGCACCTTTTCCCCTTCTCTTTCCAAGTCGATACCCAAATCCATGATCAAAACACAGCCTAAAGAATACTCTTAAAAAGCGAATACCTTATGAACACTCAATTAGGCCCTGTGGCACAGAGTAGAACCTCGTTAAATTCTAATAAATCAGCCACCTAAGAAGCTATAAATGAAGATGTGTGTCAAGGGACTTGAAAAAAAAAGGCTCATGACTTTTTTCTTTCAGATGCATTCATTCATGTTGTTTCAATAAAGAAACTGCTGAACTGCAACAAAGAAAAAAAAAAGGCACTAATTTGCTCCTAATGTACAAGTTAATAGCTGCAAGAATTGATCAGTGGGAGGTCTATGGACTAGAGAAGTCGATAAAACAGAAATTGTGTTGATTCGGCTATAAGACAATAAAATTGCTACAACTCCAATTGTTTTTGACAAGTGCTATTACTACTATTAACCTAGCTAGCAATGAAATATAATAGTCGTGTCATGGTTTCTACAGGGAAAAAATCAACTGTCTCATTACATTCTATGACTTGGAGTGCGAAAGAAATTGTAATAAAGCTATGGATGCCTAGACAACTACATAATGCTGCTCAAACTTGTCTTGAGATGCCGATAGTGCACAGATTGTTGACTGCTGAAGCGTGTGCAGGTTGAATGGTGTTGGACCCCTTGCACAAATAACCTTTTTTGTTTGGGTAAATCAAAGAGAGCTAATAATAGGAACACTCTGGAAGGATAGGAAATATCAGGTGAGCTAATAATCAAAAGCATATTAATCGCTAAAACACCGTAAAGGATTAATTCAAGCCGTTGAAAAGCATATTAATCTCCTCACAACATATAAGAGTTTTAGAGACCAAATTTTGTGGTCCCTAAAAGTGAAAATTTTATTGCAAATAATATTTAGGGATAATTTCTATCGTCGTAAGCATAGTCGCTAAAAGGTCGTCCTGAAAAGTAATAAACAAGGCTTTTAGCGACAATATTTTTAAAATGTCACTAATAAATACGCTTTTATGGACAAAATAATTTGATCCCAAAAGGGTTTATTTTTTGAGACAAAGATTTTGGTCCCAAAAGGATAATAATTCATCACTAATGTCCAATTTCTATGGCTAAAAATATAATAACATTTTTGGTAATAAAAATATTTGGTCTCTAAAAAGGAATTTTGTCTCTAAATTTTTGTCTCTAAAGCCTTAATTTTTTATAGTGATAATGTCGCCAATAACTGAAGATCTCCTGAACAATTCTGATGCAAAATCTCCGGTGCAAAACTTTATATCGTAGAGCGTAGGGCTTCAATATGACCCGCTCAACATCTCATATAAAAGGTTGTGTTACTATAATCTAGAAAAAGATTTCCATGGAGCTAAGAAAGAACATCTGGAAGAGAAACCGACTCAGGTCAAATCAGGAATGCTTCTCCTCACTGAAAATACCCATTTTGGTAAGCTATTTGGTTAGTAGGAAACTATTATGGTAAGTATGAAGTGAATCTTTTTGAGGACCAGCTGCTCAAACGTTGTAACTAAAAGAGCTATGATGTGTAGACCCTTATCACTCAACATATTGGACATTTGAAAAAACTATAACTTCTTTCCTTGAAAAGGTGCAGAAGGAGATGGTTGTGTTCCATACTTGTCAAGAAGCACTATATACAACTAATTTATATATCATTGCATTACTATACAGTTCTTGGCAAACACATTTAAACTTTGAAAAAGGAAACATATGCATATATGTTATGAACAGACTAACTATAGCCTTCTCCATGTTTCCACTTCCAGGGAGATGCTTTGTTGTGTTTGCGCAGGTAAATTATATTGTTACGACTGCCCACAAATCACAGCATAGTGAAGAAATTGAGATGATTTCCAAAGCCAGGCAAAAACGAAATAACAAGAACACAAGTTCAGAAGAACTGGCAAACCTGAGACATATCTCCGCCCAATGTTCTTTGGCTGCGAATTATTAGTGAACTGAATGGCCTTAAAACAAAGCGTAACAGAGCTGGTACAGCGTGCTCAACAAAAGTAGTGCAAACATCTGAACATTAAAATTTTTATGTCAAAGCTTAAACATCATAATTGTGGCCATTAAATTTGGTAAACTGAAAATAAGGAGCATGTAGCATTTTCATCACCTAAACTTCAAATTACACTTGGATGCTATATAAAAAAAAACGAGGGGAAAAAACCCACATGTGGGATGCTACCAATGGAAAACATGGAGGGGCACAAATCGATAAATAACTGCTCTAGGCACTTGAATTAGGACGAAAAGAACTTTATGTGTACTCCTTCTATACTGCATATGAAGGTTCACAATAACTTAAGCTTTCCTGAGATCGTGGGTGCCAATTGATACTTCACAATTTGAAGTGGAAGAAGTTAACATTGGGTTTGGCAACAGTAAAGTTCACAAGTATGTGAATAAAAGTACAGATAAAAACAGAAGTGAAAGGCACCAATTTGAATAGTCAAAAAACAACTTTGTACATTTTCTCACATCTGTACTTCCTCATTATCTTCTTTTCATTTCTGGTATTTTGAGTCCTCTAATGGAAAAAGGTACGTTTTTCAAGTATTCAAATCCCTTCATGAGTGTCTCCGCCTTCATTACCAACTTCGTAGTTAACCTGCTCTTCCTGAATATTCACTACATCAAATGTCAACTTAGACAGGCCAATGATATGATTTGTGTGGCACTGATTAGCCTAACAGAGAAAAATCAAGTAGAGGGCAATGAGACTCACTCCACGCCTCTTGACAAGATGCATATCATTCCTTGGTAAAACAAAAAGTGCCTAGATAAGGCCTGAGATGAGAAATCCAACAGTATAGAAGAGGCTTTTGTCTCGTGTTTTACCATAAAGAAACAAGATGCCCTTCAACATTATATTAATCTGTATGTAGCAAAAGAATCATTCCACAACTATAATGCTAGAATAAGATTACAGTTGATAGCCATAGAATGAGGAATAATATTATCAGCCATTATGACAATAATGGGAAGAAATTAAAGAGGTATATGAGATTAAGGCTTGGAATATACACATATATAAATAGTATAGATATATTATGTATTTCCACATATATGTATTTCATCTTTTTCGTTTAGACAATTTTATAGTTGACTCAATAGGATTTTTTATTTTTTTATTTTGTACTTGACAAAATTATTTTTTCCACTCAGTTGGAGTTTCCTCAACTATGTTGACAATCTCAACAACATCAAGAAGTACAATTGGGTTGAGGCAATAAAAGACACACTGATGAATTCAATGGCAAATGCAAACAACAACCCAAGGCATGTCACTGGATGCGTCATGTTACTCTTGGTAAACACATTACTCAACTACTTCCCACAAAAATATCAGACATCCACATATTTCTAACTATCTAACTTTTTTTTTTATTTTATTTATTTATTTTTTTTTTTTTATGTTCCAAGTGCCAAGCTAGCATGTTGCCTTAGAACATCAACTAAATTGAATACAGGATCAGAACTTTGTTCAAGTAATTGTGCTTCTACATCATTTATATAAGCAATTAACAAAACATACTCTCTCAAGAATGCTCTTGGAAAGTGAATACATGTGAACACTGAATTAGGCCCCTGTGGCTTAGACTAGAAGAAAGTCAAATTATAACAAATCAGCCATCTAAGCAGATCTACAAATGAAGATGTGTCAAGAGACTTAAAAAGGTCAATCACATTGTAAGCTGACTCAAACCACCAAAAACAGCATTAATTTTCTGCTAATGTACAAGTTAGCAGTCATCAAGTTGAATTACTTTGCACCTCTCAAGTTTCACTGAACAGGAAGGATATTCGAACAGATTTTCCATCTAAAGATTTTCACTTTATTCAGAACTTTCAGCAGCCAAATCTTCTTCCCAAATGCCCTTGCAAAACTCATTCCTTTTTAGGTGGTCTACAAGCTGCTGCTCACCATCTGAAGAGGTGACCCATGTTTCTGTTCTTTGCAAATCCATCTCCCAATGATATGCTGATTAACAGAAAAAAGAAGGCCATTTTTAGTAAAGTGCCAAACCAGTATGTCATCAGCAAGGCTTGGGCAAAAAGGGCTTTTACATATCAACTCAGCTTCAAAATCCAAAAAGCCCTATCTGATGAGAGCTTCATTCCATTCCAGACACCAGTGCTTTCGTCAGCAAGAGAGCAAACTTTAGCATCAGCATGGAATCCATCTAACTTTCCAAATCATCACAAAACAGGCATTCAAATCCCTTCAATTAGTTTCTTGCAGATTGCACACAGAATCTATTGCCTTTGACGACAAAGGAATTCTCAGATGTGCATGGGTATTTCTGCCTGCACTACCATTTTTTTTTTTTTGAGTCTTCCTATGACAAACCTCCATATGCTTGTGTAGAGTCTCAAGCATCCTCAAAAGCTACCATCAAGATAACGAAACAAAACCATAAGTTGACAAGAGGTTCAAAGTTATATACATGAACACAATTGTAGTGGAGATGAGAAGGCAAGCAATTTGCTTAACAACAAATAAATTGAAATTAGCAACCAAACTCAAGCTCACTTAAAGGAAAAAGGACCAAACTTCATTTTATTTATTTATTTATTTATTTTGAAAGGTCACACAAAAGCCCAAAGCGAAGCCAAATATCCCGCCTTATCCCAAAAACTTCATCATTTTATTAACTATTATTGTAAAGTCTTAGCTGCTCTATCAAGTAAAAGACGAAATGACTGATTCTTGTTGGAATGTGTCCCACATCGCTAGGAGTTGCCCCATTTATGCTGGTTATAAGGCTCCAGTTTCCCTCTCTTTGATACCTGAGCTTTAAGAAGAAGTGTGGGTTGGACTATTCAATTTGGTATAAGAGTTTGGCTGGGCCTGTAACTGGTATGCTAGGCTTTTCAATTATTCTTCCATATTGTCATTTTTGGAGTGGCAAAGTAACTATGGATTGCCCACATGGATTTTGGCCAGACGAGGTGGCTTCCTAATTGTCAAATATAGAATAGCATGCAAGGAGTAAAGCCTAAAAACACAAAGTGATTTTTTACAAGGTCTGGAAATTTAAATGATCAAAAGTCTTGCCTAAGAAGTGTGCTGGAGGGAGGTTTTTTCAATTATGCAAAGGACTTCTCAATTATCTTGATATATCTCTTACTTCTTTTATCTTCTTCTTCTTCTTCTTTTTTTTTTTTTTTTTTCTGTCTCTTATTCCTTTATCACCTATGAGAGTTTTCAACATTACTGGATACAACATTATTTTAGAACAGAGCATCCAAAGCACTCATCAAGCAAATTTCTGGCATACCTTGAGAAGAAGAGCAAAAACTCGCAATGCAGTTTAGACGATGAGCATGCATACATCCTAAAGTTTGTTTCCACAACAACAAAGCCCTGAGAACAAAGAGTCAAATACAATAGTCAGTACATTTTTCTATTTAAATTTTCAACAAAACATTGAAGAAATATTGAAAAGCACAGTTTTACAAGCTGCAACTGCAGATTTGTAACAGACTGAGGAAGTTGTCCTCTTTAGGGTTAACAACATTGTCAAAGCTCATGGAGGTGTATCTGTATTTCGTGGAGTAGGCGAATGTACTCATGAAACAGATGAAAAACAATATCAGCATTCCAAGTGAAATGGAACCACTCATTAGCTCTCGTCTTGGCATTTCAAAACAGGACAAATAACTTGAACCAATACAAATTACTGAACCATTTATTTTGTAGCCATTGCAAACATTATGCAGCTAGCTAATACATCATATGTCAACATTTTTTTTTTTGTTGATGTAATAGATTAATTTTCCCAAAATATATTCCATGCTGCCATGGATATGATACATTATGTTGTCTCTGGCACTGCTATATGTTCTGCATAAGTGGGATACACAATTTTTTGTCCCACCTAAGTCCATAAAATTGCAAAAGTGGAATACATAATTCTAATTTTATTGAAATGAAACTGAATCAAGACAACAGAAATTTTGCTTGCCAATTACCTGGAATCGAAGCAGTAGTACAGGAAAAATGAAAGATCAAGAGGCATCGTCTAGCTCAGATTCTGAATGAAGCCCCTAAAAAAATATATATATTATCTTCGAACTATTCATTTAGAGCAAGACCCTAATATCTAAAACTCAAAATTTATGCATAAGCTTATCATCAGTAAATTTCAAATTTACAAAAACTAGAACCTGAAACAACTCAAAATAACAATGACGGTAACAATAAAAGAATTATATTTGAACGAGTTACCATCGTGAAGAGTATCAAAAAGTGATGCTATACTTTCAATAGACTTCAAAAAACTGGATTTATAAAGTTCAAAGCTTGTACATGCATATTTTTCGGAATGAGGTGTAATAATGCATGTTAAATGCACAACAGCAAAATAAAGGCTCCGTTTAGTGGAGCTTTCAAAATATAGTTCCACACTCACTTGAGTGCGGTGTTTGTTTAGTGTTTTCAAAAATTAATTCCACTCACTTTTGAAAACTCTTTCCAAGGCGAGAAAATTTGGGCTAACCAGTCGTCCCACTGGTCGTCCGACTGGTTGACTGGAACAGTGTTCATTTTTTTTTTTTGCACCTGTTATTTTTATATTACAAAAAAAATATTTGTGAAATTTTTTTAAAATTTTTTATGAGCTTTGAATAGAATTTTCAGTTGTGTGTTTGGTTATGAATTGTAAGTTTTTGTATCAAATATCATATGTCACATCACTAAATTCAAACTCAATTTAAAATTCTTTTCAAAACTCATAATCAAACAAATTTTCCACACTCAAATCATAATTCCAAAACTCACAAACTCAAAATACAACTCTATTATCAAATTATAATTCTAAAACTCTATCAAACACTATCAAAGATTCTCTTAAAGTCCTAACAAAAATGCAACCTTGAGATATAATTGAAACATGGTGTAGAAGTAAAACCAACACCACCACTAGTATATTAGTTTCAAGTTGCAATCAAACATAGTTGATCATTTTTGAGAGAAAACATTTTATAGAAAAATAATTTCCGTAAACAGGCTCGGGTCATAAGGTGAAGTACTTAATCTTACCTTACAGAAATGTGTATAGATTGCTGGTGGTGAATAGGGCTATTTTTCCATCGGCACCTATGAATAATACAAGATAAAATAACAAATGAGAATGAAAATTATCCATTCATCATTAAGAGAAAATGAAATATATTTGAAAGGAAAAGACAGAAAATGAAATGAAAAACAAAGCAGTGTGTTTAATCAATAATGTATTGGTAATTTCAACATTCAGAACAAATTGGAACTCTCTTACAATTCAAAAGAAGTAGATAGTAAACCCTCAGTTGTGATAAAAATCTGAGATGATATTGGTAATGAGAAAATAAATAAATAAATAAATAAAACGGTAAGACAGATTTTGTGTGTTGTTTGTTTGTACCTTGCAGTTGGCTGCTTAATCTAAATCTACTACAGGAATGTATTTGATGATTGGCCAATATTGGCCTTTGCCCTTTTCACACTTCTGTTTCAGTATTCGACTACATCCATAGATCCTCAGTGACAAAAGCGAGGGAGGGAAGCCTTGTTCTGGAAAGGTCGTAAGCTTGGGACAATCGCAGATCAATACATGCAAAAGAGAGGGAGGCAACCCTTCCTTTGGAAAAGACGGGAGCCTAGGGCAAAACATGATATGAAGTCTTTGGAGAGAGGTGAGGTTTTGAAACTCCTCATAAGAGAGTCTTTCCAGATTTGGGAATTTCCTGATGGTCAAATTGATGAGAGAGGTGGGCAGGAACGTCCCTTCTTCTGGAAAGGACACCGTGTCTCCCCATGGCCAAGCTGCGCCTTCAAGTTTGAGTGTGGTAAGAGAAGAGAGTTTGTGCAAACCCCACTCTAATGGAGATGGAGGCAGAAGTGGAAGTGGAAGTTGACCGACCTCCACTCTGATATCCCCAATTGCAAGTGAACTGAGGTTGGTGGGGAAACTCCCTTCCTTGACAAAGTAGGATTCAATTCCAGCTCTGCAATAAACTAAACACAGATCTTGAAGCGAAGTGTGTTGGTTGATGTTGATGTTGATGTTGTTGTTCTCATCACGACCACCAAGTGACAGGGGCTCCAGATTCTCACAGCAGCTTATATGAAATTGGCTGAGATTCCTGAGATTATTGGCTTCGGGTAAAGATTTGAGACTCCTGCAATACCCAATTTCAATAGTTTCAAGAGATGGACAATCAATTTTGATCCCTTCCTCTGCAAAAAGTGACTCCAGATTTTCACAAAACTCAATCCCAAGTTGTTTTAGTGTGGATGGTAGCCCACCTCTTGACAATAGATATGTGAGTGATGCACATTTAGAAACCCGCAACTCTTGCAGATTATTGAGTGTCATCAACTCGGGTAGGGACTCCAAAGCATCACACTTTGTAACCCTAAGTTCTCTCAGCATAGATGGTAAACCCTTCATTGGAAAAGAGATGAGACTTGCACAATCGTGGATTCTAAGCACCCCAAGAGATGCGTAGGTGTGCAGATCTTGTGGCAGTTTCTTCAGCATTCCACACTCTTCAATTGTTAAATACTCGAGTCTCGTCATGCAAGGCAGCCCCTCATGTTGCTGCTTCTTCAAACCTTCTCCTTTTTCTTGCTCTTCTTCAAACAAGCTAATGAGTTTGGGGCAATGAGAAATCTTCAAATGGCAGAGGGAAGGGAGACATACTTCTATTCTCACCTTATTCTGCCATAATGTCATGAGTTCTTGGCAGTTACCAATGTCCAATTTCTCGAGTCTCGTCATGCAAGGCAGCCCATCATGTTGCTGCTTTTTCAAATCTTCTCCTCTTTTTTCTTGCTCTTCTTCAAACAAGCAAACAAGTTTGGGACAATGAGAAATCTTCAAATGGCAGAGGGAAGGGAGACATACTTGTATTCTCACCTTATTCCGCCACAATGTTATGAGTTCGTGGCAGTTACGAATGTCCAATTTCTCGAGTCCCATCAAATCTTGAGTAAACCATGTCGGTAGGAACGCCAGCTTTTCAACATGGGAAATGCTCAAAGCAATTATCGAAGTCAAATGCTTAGACATTTTATTAGCTAGTAACTCTTCATCAGCTGTGCTTGGATCACAAAGGGAGTCGAGAACTGTAACATGTCTAATATCCAAGGTGAGGGAACCAAGTTCAATTGTGTTCTTCGTGCCTAAGAATGCTGGAAGGCTTGGGAGCATAACATTATTCATCGGCAAGGACGCAAGTGATGGCTGGACGAGGCTCGAAACATCAATCAACAATTGCGGACAACCATCAATTTTGAGAGAATTGAGACAAGGAAGATCATTTGGTAATCTTCCAACAAGTTTGGGACAATTTATGATGGAAAGCTCACTGAGATGACTGAACGGCTGAACTCCCTCTGTTTCAAAAGCAGACCAATCCTCCCATTCTGGCATAAACTCAAAGCTCAGTCTCTCTAGAGAGGGGAAGGGTTTGGCACCACACTGCTGCCCATAGAACTCACAACTCAGGCGCTTTATTGCAATCATTCCTTCAATGTAAAGGTTTTTAAGGAAGGGCAGTTGTCCAAGTGGTGGCAAAGATGTGCAACATTTGCTACCTTTTAATCGCATGAACTCCATTTTGAAGAACGAAACATCTCCAACCCAGTTTGGAAATTTTGTACTGCCATACCCACTGATGGTGAGTCTTTCCAACAATTTGAAAGGTCTCATCACGTCAAGCACATCCCTCTCAACTATGTCATTCTGTGAACAATGAGATTCATCCCATTCTAGTGATAACTCTTTTAACTCCTCCTTAGATATTAAATTGGCATCTCTTGCATCCTTAACACCACTGACATTCTCCAGTCTTGATATGTGTATTGCCCCTCGAATGTGTGATAGGTTTTTCAACTCTCCTATTTTACGCCCACAATCTTTACCCACCATAAAATTTGACAATGTTTGGAGATTAATTAATTTACCTATATGTAGCGACATTTCTTCTGATGGTGGAATATGCACGCCAGTTATGTCAAAATGGCGCAAGTTCACCAGCCTCCCCATGTTTAGAGGCAACTTTTGAAGTTGATGACAAAATTTCAAAAACAAGACTTGTAAATTGTAGAGAGTTACCACTGTGTCAGGTAACCTTGTAATCCTAGAACCGGATACATCAAGATACCGCAAATGCTTTAGATCTCCAATGGAATCTGGTAGTTCAATTATACCAATACCACACAAACGCAACTCACGTAAGCATTTTAACTTTGGCAACAAATCATGTATCAAGTACCTCGTTATGCAGTGAAATTGTTGTTGTGGCAAAAATTCTAAGAATGTTCGTAAGCATTTGGCATCATCGAAAGCTTTAAATTTTTTGATTCCATCGTAATGGCTAGCAACATAAGATACATGGCGTGCTTTGTCCGAAATCTTGTTCTGCCTGCCACCCTCTAAATTATTTTCCAACCTAAAATATTTGTCCCCTGCAACATCTTGAGCCAAATCATTGATGAGGTCATGCATTATGAATTGCGATTTGTTACCACTTGACGGCTGAAAAAATGATCTTGACACCAATTCGTGAAAATACTTGCGGCCTAAATCTTCCATTTGGTCTCCACCTTTTGGTTGCTCAATTAAACCTTCAGCCATCCATAGCAAGACTAATTCCTCCTCCATGAATTCGTAGTCCTTTGGGATAATTGCACAATAGGAAAAGCACCTCTTCAAATGGACAGGGAGATGAAGGTAGCTCAATTTCAATGCTGTAAGAATGCCACTTTCCTCATTCCATATATTGCTATTTAGTATCTCTTTCCATTCATGTTTTCCTTGTTTACAGCATAATAAGCTGCCAAGGGCCCTCGCTGCCAAGGGTAAGCCTTTGCACCTGTTCTCAACAATTTTCTTACCAATTGATACCAATTCTGGGCAATCCATGATATTTCTATTCTCAAATGCATGTTCGGCAAAGATTGACCAACAATCATCATATGATAAGTTTTTCAAATTGAAATATTCATCCATACCCATCTGCTTTACAACACCTCCTTCTCGCGTTGTCACAATGATTTTACTTCCAGGTGCTCCGGCTCCAAATGGCAATCGTAGCGAATTCCACCCATCATGTCCATAGTGCCACACATCATCTAGGACAAGCAAAAACTTTTTTTCTGCCAGTGTGTCTCTTAGTTGGACTTGAACCTCATTTAACTTGCCCAAATCACATGGACGGTGAGTGAATGACTCCAGAATTGCCTTTGTTGTTCCCAGAATGTCGAAGTCAACAGAAACACAAACCCATGCTTTCATATTGAAATGCTTTTCCACTTTGTCGTGATCATAAATGTGCTGAGCTAGTGTAGTCTTGCCGATCCCACCCATGCCTACAATAGGAATTACATCAAACTTTTTTGCAATAGGTGCATCCCCAAGTAGCAATCCGATAATTTGCTTGATGTCTTCATCTCTGCCATGAATGTGAGGCTCCTTCAAACATGTAGTTTGTGATCTCTGCCATAAATCTGTAGGCATCTTTCCAACAAATCTTTTATCTAAACCAAGTTCTTTTCCTTTCGTAGCAACTTCTTGTAATTGACTGGTGATCTCAATTAGATTTGACGCATTTTTTAAATTGAATGGAACAATATTAGAGAGGCGTGGGAACTTTGCTGGTCTTCTTTCGATCGTCGTCTCCTCAGCCATTAGCTTCTTTTCGAGATTGTCAGTGGCAAAATCATCCAATATGTCATCTGCATCGTAAGCCAAACGGTAAACCTCTTCAAGCCACTTTTTGATGTCCTTGTGGTATATCTGTTTGTTCTCCGCATCAGCCAACAGAGTCTCTAAATCCTCTAATGCCTTCTTCAAATTCTGGATGCTCGTGCCAACGTCCGCTGTGCTCACTAAGTTGCTAAAAAAAGAGGACAATTTATCAACCATAGCTTGTACGAATGGAGAGATAAAGATCCCAAATACATCCATGGTGTTTGTTGTGAAAGTCGGAAAGGTAATGAAACCAAGCAATACAGATATCCATGGTGAATTTTCATTCTCCTTGGACTTCTTGGTTTCTAGTCTTTTTTTATTCTTTTTATTTTTTAAAATCATTTTCTAGTTCTTCTATGGATTAGGTACAAATGTAAGAGTCTGATGACGTATAGGCTCACTAATTAGTGCCTCTATAATAATCAAATTTCTGAAAAATTAAACATTTAAGCTGTGTTTGGTTCATGAATTTAGGAAATAATTTGGAAAGGAAAAGGAAAAAAATATGTAAAATGTAAATAAAATATACATATATTTCACTGAGTTTTATACACTTTTTTCTTTTTATTTTCCAAATCTCTCCCCAAATCCATGAACCAAACACAATATTAAAAGTTAACAACCTTCCTAGATTTGAGCTTTGTGATCCCAGTGTTTTGTTCTAATAATTTATTAGTCACCTCACCTAACGGCTTATTAAAAATTTAATTAACAGCTTTACCATTTTGTTCCAAGAAATACATCTGCAATTGTCAACTTTTTTTCATTTAGTATTTGATTGCACACCAAGCCAAACAAATTGTCTCCTTTTTCACACTTGATAGCAATTGATGCATTAATTTAAAATCAAGAAGTAGTATTCATTGAGATCTCTCGTGGAAGTGGTGAAGTTTGCTGGTCAAACTATAAAGGTATATATAATCATAATTTTATTTTTTTAAATACTGTCTTTGAAAATTATTAAAAAAAATTAGATAAAAAATTGAAAATATCACTTATAAAACTATATTTAGGGACAAACAAATTCATACCAAAAGGTTTATTTTTGTGATGAAAATTTTAGTTCCAAAAGCATAGTAATTCATTACGAAATTTCCAATTTTGTCGTTAAAAATGCAATAATGACACTTTTGGCAACTAAGATAATTTGTCCCTAATTTTTTTCTCTCTAATACATTAATTTGTTGTGGTGATGACCAGATATGGTCAAGTTCGGATCAAGGGAAGAAATTAATCATAGCATATAGATTTTATGGAGATTATTAGAATCCAAATGTTGAGAGTTAATAGCAAGATATAAAGTAAATTAGTCATAGACTTATGTCTCAAAGTAGCTACCTCCCACAGAATGACACCAAAGTTATATATATCCCACCAGTAGAATTAACATAAGACACAAAATAAATTTCCAAAATAAATTAGTGGGTTGCCACTATATGTGGATCCTCCACATCAAAAATCCGAGAGACTATAACAGAAAGGATATCCATTCTAGATTAATTTGTGTAATCTCGGTAGGTATCTTGAGGCTTTGCCTCAAGTTGTTGCCTCTATTTAGAACTTGGTTGGTATTCTAAAGATAACATCACATGGAGATAATGAACCACACTAATTTCATACTTCTTACTTCTAGACAACACCTATATCCTTATACAGGAAAGGAACTTTCAGACAATCCTAACAACAAACGTATGTCCTAAAAAGATTTATTCAATAAAGAAAAGCCTCAGCAGTTATATAATCAAAGATTTGAAAATTGTGATCATTCTACATACATGCAGAAGCAGAGGAGTTAGGAATTGAGAAATAGAAGGACTGCCTATTGGGAACGTTTTGAACTGCTTTATAGATTAAATTCTGGATTTTAATTTTTTTCTTTTCTAGGATGAGTTCTGATTTTTTTGGGGAGGGGGGGGGTAACATGTTATGTAGAGCGAAAGAAAAAAAAAATGAAAAACAAGGTGGCTTAGATTCATAAGCAAACAAAAGAGTGGAGTGACGATTGAAGCTAAATAAGAGGAAATCATTATGAAGACAGGAAATGGAATAGATACATTTCAAAGAAGCTTCTCAGTGCCTTGGATGTTAAAGTTGTTTGTCCTGGTTATATTGAAAAAAGGCCAACCTTTTGTTTTCATTCGTAAATCTTGTGCTCATTTTCTGTCAATATGTTCAGAAAATCAGTGTATTATTAGTATTGTCTTATTGTATATTGATATGAACAGCATATTTGATTTTGGATTAATGATAATGATATGATCAACAATGTGTTATTTGTTGGGTAAGAAAACTGAATCTTTGATTGTGCTTTTTGAAGGTCATTTGCAAATAAGCAACATATACATGCGCATGCTGGTATTAGGAATAGAAACCAAATTAATGATTCAATTATAACTTAAATTTGTTATAAAATCTAAGATTGTAGTTGAAGTTAATACAATTTTATTTACTACTGTAATATCTTTTTTTGAACAATACTACTGTAATATCTAATACAAATTTTATAGGCAGTTCAAAATTTATTTTGAGCTCACCTAGATCACATTAGTGGACCTATGCCATATCAATAAATCTAGTAAATCAAGGTTCATTCATGTTGATGGTTGTTACTTGTGGGTAGGTCAGTGTGAGTGTCCAATTTCTTTACCTTTTTTTTTTTTTTTTGAACATAAGAATTCCCCTACCTCAACTCACTTTCTTGCTTCTCAAAGGTGAGGAAGAAAGGCAACAATACAATATTATATACATACTTTCCATTATCAAATCCCTGCCAAGGTTTCCTATGTCTTCAAACATTGATAGCCTGCTCTCAGCAACAAGTTACAAAATTCTCTGGTTTGGTTGGTCAGAATTTTCTCTGGATTGTTGGACTGAATTTTCTCTGGGTTAAACCTAGAGAAATTTAAATTTTCTCTGGGTTTGATGTGTATATAAGAACCAGTTTGTGTGTATACTTTTAAAAAAATCAAATTATTCATTTTATTTTTTCCTTTTGTTATTTATTTGTTTAGTTTATGATATGAAAATTTCCTTGATCTGTAACTCTTCTCAGCAATCTGGTTTTCATATTCCAAGTTTAGATGCAGTTTTGAAATTGGTAGAGGAGAAATATATTAAAACATATAGAATTAGTGAACCTGGTTTCTCTGTGGTGAAGCTGATGAAAGATGTCTGTGAATGCTTCTTGGCAGAAGGCACCAATTGTACTGATGATGGACAAGTAACATCCACAAATTTAACATCATCTCTTGCTATATCTAAGAAATTAAATCCAGAGAAAATTGGTCAAGAGAAATTCTGGAAATTTTTCTGGAATTCGGAATTTCTCTCCAGAGAAATTCTGGAAATTTCTCTGGACTTCGGAATTCTGGAAATTCAAAATTTCTCTAGAAATTCTGGAAACCCACATCAGTCTTTGGAAATGGTTGTGCAGAAGATATTTGCAAGTCTGAATTCAGCTGCAACAACCGATTCTTGTAATAATAATCACGAAACTGCTCTGGGATTCCTAGGCATGTGTGAATGTGATATGCCCGGTAAACAGGCGTAAGGTCAAACTTCAGAACAAAATCTTCATTAATTTCTTCAACATCTAAAGTATATGTAAAATCTTCAGACCCTGAATAACTCTGTTCCTCAATTTTCCTCTGATGAGCTAGCATGTCCTCATCCCTCTGACGCTCCAATGTAGCATATCCTATTGCTGTTTGTCCAATATCTTTTGCAGTGCTCCTTATGAGAACTAACCATTCGTTAACTTGACTAGTGACCTTTTTCTCAATATGTGATTTTATTATTGGTATTCTCTCCTCAATAAGCATCCTGAGCGCCTTAACTGGAATATTCTGCAAATAAACTTTCTTAATCAGATCAATGGTTTTCAGAGTAGGGTAAAACCGCCCTTTAGAAATGTGATTGTTACACTTCACGCATAGATCCAACACTAGAACACAATTGCTCGACATTTTAGTGGCTTCAGTAATATTCTTCTTGATTGAGTAAGATTCCAGGAGTTCATCAAGTTTGAGAAGAAGAGCATTCCCAACCTCATTGCCCGATTCTAGGGTTCCGGTGTAGCTCCTACTGGCAGCAGCGGCGGAGTTGATAATCAGCTCCTTTGCTCGAAGCAAGCAATTGCATGGCTTCGAAAGAGCGAGAATGGCGAACGAAGCATGTGGCTCGTAAACCCTAGACGAAAGACAACAATGCAGGTGGGTGGGTTTATAGATCCATGAAATCAGGTTGAGAGATCTAGAAAGTAAAGAGAAAAAAAAAAAAAAAAAGGAAGAGAAAGAGATTGGGAGGTTCTGCTAGAGAGAGAAGAATCGGGCAATGAGGTTTTCAGGAAGAGGATCAAACGCAGTCAAATTTCTCTGATATATGTTTAGGGACCTTAGACATCAAAAAATAATTTTTTGGATCTCTTCCATTACGAAAAGTGGGAGAGGGACC